TTTTTAACTGTCAGATAACTTTTTAATCTGTAAATTTGCAGAAGTTTGAAAATACCATGGAGAATCTTAGGAATCCCAGGAATCAGTGAATGGGATATCTATAGATCCGTAACATCTACAGGCTAAATCCACTCAGAATGCTTCTCAAAGTGGGGGTGGGGGCTATGAGAAGTTAATAATTCTCCTTCTGTCTGGCTTCCTCTTTGCCTTTCCCTCTCCTATCTGCAATCACCTGTGTCACAGGACATGTATAAGTAGGTGGGAGGAGTTAAACTTCGACAGTAAATCAAAATCAGAGTTAAAGGCAAATGTTTAACTAGTCGCGTTTACACAAGCTACTGAAGGAAGAGTTTTAGGGTTTAAAGAGTCAAATATTCTACACTCCTGAGAAATCTTAGTTTCTCATTCTGGTGAATATTTTCACATTGCATCTTGCTGCTATAAACTAACTGGGTATACATTTTTGAGTATTGATTTACTACTCAAAAGATTTGAATTAGGGGACTAAAAGAAAACATTTTGTATCTGTGTATTTTATAAAAATGCATCATAAGGAAGGAGCCACGTGTCAGTTTCCAATGGGGGGGACGTTCTCATGGAGGTACTGTAAGGCTAAGTCTGTCCACTTCATTTCTTGCTCTTCGACAGATTCTGTGGTGCCACCGTTGTCTTGTTCAGGTTCAGGAAGCTCATTCAGTGGTATAGCAACGTCTTCATAAGGTCGCTTGTCTTCCCGCCAAGCATCGTCAATCAAATCCAAGATCCTTCCATCTCTCTGTACCTCACTGTCCATTTTCCTGCAGCTTGGCTTTTGTCAGATCCGCGCCCGGCCCACCGCAGCACCCGCTTCCTCCGCGAGATTATAATTTATATGTTCGTTCCCAGGTGCAGTGGCTCATGCCTGTAATCCTAGCACTCTGGGAGGCCGAGATGGAAGGATTGCTTGAGCTCAGGAGTTCAAAACCATCCTGAACAAGAGCGAGATCCCATCTCTACTAAAAATAGAAATATTAGCCAAGCATCCTGGCCCACGCCTGTAGTCTCAGCTACGAGAGAGGTTGAGTCAGGAGGATCTCCTCAAACTAGGAGTTTGAGGTTGCTGTGAGCTATAATGACACCACTGCACTCTACCCTGGGTGACAGAGCAAGACTCTGTCTCAAAGAAAACATTTACATGTTGGGCAATATTTAACCTCATCAAGATTTTATCTGAAATTGGCACATTGCAAACAATGTCAGCTTTTGAAGTGCTGATTCATTGCCCTCTTCGTTTTGAAATAACATTAATTGAGTAATACGTGCTGCCTGTGGTTTAAAGACTCCAGATATCATGTTTGGAATTGAGCAATACTTCTGCTTTGCTGACTAAGGCAAAGAAATCTTTTGGAATACAGAGGACAGAAATCACATAAGTGCAGCAGGAAAAGTACAAAATAGAGTTTCATGTACAACTAGAGTCTCTGCAAGTGTAACAGATAAAGCAATATAGCATTAAGGAATGGCTTAATATGTATATTTAAGTTAGGAAAGACATATAGAATTTTGAGTTATATTTGAGAAACACTATTTCTTAATATCCATGCAATGTATACATCTTATCAATATCTTCTTCTATATCTGTTGTGGCTTCATT